ATCTGCAGCGTGGAAACGCTTGTGAACGAGCCCGTCGTCGTCGCTGTTGAACCTATAGATAAGACGGTATAAATATTTATAAAATAACAAAAGTTGCCATGTTAAAATCGATTCATGCGATATAAGTATAATTTTATTTTTAGAAAACATCGAAAATGATGCCGGCGCTAGCGAAACGCTAGGCGCCGCCGCTACCGGTGCGGACGACGCCGACGGCGACGACGGTGACGAGGAGGATGTCGACGACGACGACACCGACGACACCGACGACACCGACGACGACGACGACGACGACGACACCGACGACGGCGATAGCGTCGCCGGAGACGGTGGAGATAGATCCGACAGCGACGACGACGACGACGACGACGAGGATGATGACGACGACGATGATGGCAACGTTGTCGTCGTCATCAATGACGGCGGCAGCGACGTCAATGTCGACGAAGACGGCATCGAGGAAAGTAATGTGGGAGAGGAACGCGACGACGACGACGACAATGCCGGGGGCAATGGAGAAAACATTCGCCGCTATCGAGAGCCGCTTTCTTTAGCATTAGCAGGTGAGAACTTTGGCGCGCAAACCCACGCGGAATTCTCTAGATGTTTATTTACGTTTGGTTTACGTTCGAATTTAATCAAAACTGATTGTAAATGAAATTAGAACCGAGTTACTCGCTGGTTAGCCTCCATTCCAACGAAGGGGAAGATCGTATACCATATATTCTCGAGGAGGAAAGAGAAACGGAATGGGAAAGAATATTGTGGGAGGGTAACGCGGAAATCCCCCGGAATTACGAATTTTTCCCGATTTCCCCGTATGGGGTTCTAGTCAGGAATTATCGTATTTCAATTTAACGCCGGAAGAGTAAATTCGAACGTAAGTTATAAGATGGCTTAAAATATTAAATATTTTTTACATCGCGTTTCTAATTATTTTGCATTATTCTTTTACAGTACAACAAGGAGGCACACGCGGACGCGTTCTCTCCTCCTCCGAAACGGAACCGGTGAGAGAGGAGCTTATGGAGGAGGAAGAAGAAGAAGAAGAAGAAGAAGAAGAAGAAGAAGAAGAAGTTCCTCACGAGCGCGGTAATGTTAAGTTTAATTATATTGAAATACGAGAGGAAAACGCGCGGCGGTTTAGAAATTTCCATATATTAGGACGAGAGGCTAGTATAAAGATTCTCCCACCCGTCGAAGGCACCGACATCGCTAAACATTTAGAAAACACGTTCCGCGAAATCTATTCTTACGCTGTTAATTCCGCTAACGCGAACGATTACGTGGGGCTGTCTTTCGCCTCGACGGCTTTAACACGCGGGCCGGCCGGCTTGTCGTTTCGCCCGGTGCGAGACTTGACTCACGAGGATATCTGGGGTCTCGTAAGCTCGGTAGCGCAGAGCGCCGGAGATCACGATATCGCGGAACGCTTTTTAATAACTGTGTACAATGTCGGGATGCCTTCGGGCTGAGGAGGAAAATCGAATAAATTAACGCGCGAAGATGTGCACTGAGAACAATGTCCGATCATGTCTGATCGGATAATCCGATGAAAATGTATCAAACGGATATGTCCGATCAAATTATATATCCGATCATTATCCGATGAAAAATTTTATCGGATATATCCGATCAATAATTATCCGATTAATAATTATACGATCAATAATTATCCGTTGTTACTGGAACAGATCCGATGAATATGTGATCGGATATCAAAAAATTGTTGGGTAAAGATTAAAATAGATATAGGGAGATAGAAATTAAATTGAAATAAGTAAAGACATATATTTAGACATATATTTATTTTAAACATATATATGTATATTGAAATAATAATAGTCAAAGAATGCTTATTTAATCCAAAGAATTGCGCATTGTGATGTATAAATACGAAGACGACAAAACAGATACAGTATTTTGATGCACAAACAATAATGAATCATAAGATATGAAATGTTGATTATTTCTTTTTTCAACTACGTACGCGTAAATGAGGATCGAATGTGACAGTTTCTAACAAATGTCCTTCAAAAAATGTTTTCTTTGTTATTAAGCAAAGATAAATTTTGGAAATATTAAAAAAAACAGGGTCTCCGTAATGTCGGTCGATATATAAAGTTAGAATGCTGTTAGGCCTGTAAGTGATGCCGTTAATTTTAACAAAAGAAGTGGAGTACTGGAGTAATTCTGTGGAGGGTGAGAGATTAAATTGTCTTAAAAGCAATGTTAATCGTGAAATGTTAATTCTTATAATTTTACAAGAATGTTGAAAGTTGGATGGAAGTTGATTTTCTAAAAATAAATGGTTTAATTGTAACTGATTTTTTATAGCAAGAGTTTTGCAAATATTCATTCTGTTCATTGAACTTCTAGCTGCTATTTTTAATATTCTGTGTTTCGATTCAAACCTCATTGATCACAAGTTATGTAGGGGACCTAATTTTTTCATTATTCCTGGATAATGAACCAAATAGTGAAATTTAGGTTT